TGCAGGTGTGTGTATGTTTTGGTGTGTGTGTCTGCATCTGAGTGGTTGTCTTTATCCATGGGTGTGTCTGTGTGTGAGTGTCTGTCTGTCTGTCAGTGTGTGTGTGTGTGCGTGTGTGTGTGTGTGTGTGTGTGTGTGTGTGTGTGTGTGTGTGTGCACGAAGTAAACAAGCGTGTACACACTTGTCAAGAAGGAAGCCTAGGTTATACTTAAAACTGATCTTAGGAGGGTCTTAACTTGGCGTCTTGGATAAAATAACCATAAAGCTGTGTGCATGCAGCTGACAATCTCGGTAGTCTTGAGGCTTCAAGGCTCAAGGTGTCACGACATCTCATAGCAATTTGCAATGTTCTTTGTTTTACCTAGTTGTGTAATTGTGGGGATGTGCTTGCTATTTTTACAACCGATACGGTGGTGGTAAATAAAAGATAAAATACAAAACAGTCCAAGAGGAGACCATAAAAGTGTTACAACCCTTGTCCTTGACACCCTAGGGAAGAAGACGAAACATGGAGATATAATTTTACAAATTAGTAAGCCAAATCATTAATGTATTTATTGATCACTAAAACATACGGTGGTGGGTGGACAGCCCTGAGCATCTGTATCAGTGAATGTGTCTGTGTGTGCATGTCTATGTCTCTGTGTGTGCACACAGTAAACAAGAATTTGCACACTTGTCAAAAAGAAAGCGTAAGTTATACTGAACCTTTTGAAATTCGAAGGATCTTAACCAAGCGTCTTTGATGACCCCCCCCCCCCTCAAATCACAAAGCTGTGTGTATGCAGCTGACATCTCTGTTCTCTTGAGACTTAGAGGCTCAATGTTTCACTACACGACATTAAAATCTACAATGTTCTTTGTGTTACCCAGTTCAGTAATTGTGGGATGTGCTTGCTATTTTTACAACTCTTATAAAAAAGAAAGAGCAGGTTATACTGAACCTTTTGGTTTAAGAAGGATCTTAACCAGGCGTCATAAATTTAAAAAACCCAAACAAAGCTGTGTGTAAACAGCTGACAATCTCTGTTCTCTTGACGCTTAAAGGCTCAAGGTTTCACTGCATCACATTACAATTTACAATGCTCTTTGTATTTCCCAGGAATTGTGAGAATGTGATTGCTCTTTTGTGAAACCCTATACCATTGTTGTAAAGAAACAGACAAATACAAAAAAATCAAAGATGAGACCATAGATGTTATTACTGCCTGACGGCCTTTATTACCACACACAACGCATAACAGTCAACAGAAACCTAGAAACAGATGGAACTATTGAGCGCTGCTTACAAGCACTATACCTTTCACAATTACAAGCAATAACATAAAAACGTATTCCAGTTGGGTTTGTTCTGTTTTTTTTTGTTTTTTTTTCAAAGAAGCCAAACAGGTACGGGGGTAGCTTTAGGCGAAGCGCTCTGTTCAGCACCTTTCTTGCTTTTGATCAGACAAGAAAAGCAGCAGAACCCATTGTCCTGACGTTACTTCCTGGAGTACAGCTCTTGACCAAAATAATGTGTCGAAAGTCAGACAACGTCATCATCTTGACGTCAGGCCGATAATGAGAGAGCAGCTGTGCGTAGGATCTATGAGTCCACGGTACATACCTCCACGGAATGAAAGAATATGCCCACCCCAGAGCGCTTTTCCAGAACAGGTACAGGCACAAAACAAGACCGATCCGATTTCTACGTTCTAAAGAAAAGAAAGATGAGTCACATAGCCTGTGCATTGTGCGCCTTGTGCTATTATATAATTTAAAACGAAAGCAAAGACCAAGCATTCATTCTCTGGACCCATCATTAGGCTCCAGTAGCGAAACGAAAAGCTACATTTATAGAATCAGAGAGAAAAGTACGAAAGGACGGGAAATAATATTTTTTCTCTTAAAATCATTATTGCCTGCTGTGAAGGCGGTTCGGTTTTATGCGTCCCTAGTTGTGCGTTCGTGACAACAACAACAACAACAACAACAACAAAGCAAATACCAAAGGCGAAAAGATGGACATTGTATTGTGAACATCAGTCTCATTTCAGACCTGTTGCTGGGTGTTTAATGGTACAGGTTGTAATATCTGTTGTATGGGCGGTAACCATTGTAACCATTGTGATAACTGGGCCTGTAATAGTTGTAGCCATAGCTGGGCACTTGGTAAGTGCTTTGGTGGCCATAGCTGGGCACTTGGTAAGTGCTTTGGTAGCCGTAGGAGGCGTCGTACCTCTTGTGTGCGTCCTCAGCGTAACCATAGCGACGGTACTGGGCTTGGCTGTAGTACCCTGGAGCATAAGCAGCGCCTCTCTTGTGTCTGTAAGAATGGGCGGGGGCGGGGACGTATTGGTGGACGTTTCCGTAAGTGACGTCACTGTGGCCGGGGTACTGTCCGTAATGCCCTCTGGCGGCGGCGGCCAGATAGAGGTGTTGCTTAGTGCTGTAGGAGTTGTCTTTGTTGTAGCTTGAATCATAACCGTGGACGTAGTTCTTTCCATAGCCGTGCTGGTTGTTGTAGTCGTTGTAACCGTACCTGGACGATAGAATAGGCCAACACTAACAATATCATCTTAGCACAGACTGAGCCCACCATTTCGGAACTTCACGGTGACATTTAACCTTATCCGTAAGCCCTATATGCTGTATTCTTCACATTTTTAGAATACATTGTACTTCTTTTGCGAAGATCTCTTCGAAATTTTCTGTATTTCTCAAAAAATCATTTTCACAGACTGCTATGCAAAGTGTACTGATCGGACTAACGAGTAAATTTCCTCTTTGGAAAGTGGGGGGACAGAGTTCCCCACATCATATGGATGCGATAGTAAAACACGACGTACGGATAGGGTTAAGATGGTTCCAGTGGGGAACGGGATAGAGGGTGCCCACGTCCCTCGTGACTCATTGGAGCAGAGAAAGATTGGACTAGTGTTAACTTTACTAAAAAACTAAAACACAATCCCACTTCATCACTCGTCACCACCGTTATTTCTAAAATCATCTTTGCTCTCAGATCCTTGACTTACATCTCTATAATCCCTGAATCTCTATCTGTAACAGTTACATGTTATATTAAGTATACATAATACGCTATTGGACACTATCATACGCATTTTTTTCGACTAATCAGATGGCGTCAACCTCATATAAATCTGTCCCCGTCGTTTTATGCAAAAATAAACACTTCTGAAATTAAGCAAAATGACCCCAAAAATGTGAAATTATGCGATTCTGTTAATTTTTACTAAGAATGGTAAAGGAAAATAATCAGAAATAATGCAAAAAATGATCAAATTTTGCTAAATTATGCGGGGTGCATAAAACCATGGGGACAGATAAATTGGCATTGGATAAAACAAAAAATTATTTTAAAAATCGTACCTGGCTGGGTGTCCGTAAGAGTACACGTCATGGCTCTGCTCCTGGCCGTACACGTGGCCGTTGTAGGAACCTTTCCTGCTGTAGTCAAAGTACTTGTCGGCGTAGTAGTTACGTCTGGGAGCGTAGCCGTAGTCGTTGTGTCCGTCGTAAGCGTAGCCGTCTCGGACGTATCCGTGGGCCTGGTCAGAGTAATGTCCAGATCGGTCGTAGCCGTAGGAGCGGGACCTGCAAGGGGAGATAACAACTGGTTCTCTTATTCTCAGTTCACACCGAAGAACGCTTTGTTAAATCTGTATTAGATTGTGTTATTTATATATATTTGACTCCACTTGAGTTGTTGTTTTTTAACGCAGACTGCTTCATAATTCATATCTTTGAATAGGATTTGGAAGACCAGAGATATCTCCCTTTCAACAAAGCTGAGGATTTTCAATTCAAATGTGAAATCAGTCCTATTGTATGGATGGGAGACCTGGAACATATCAATATCACAGACTTGCATAAAGAGGATCCAGGTTTTCTTGAACAAGTGTCTAAGAAAGTTACTGAGGATCAGATGGACAGACAGGGTTCATCAACGAGGAAGTGTTACGGAAAACAAGACAGATCACAGCCAGAGATGAGGTAGGAAGAAGGCGGTGGCGATGGATTGGACATACTTTCACTATTCTCAGGAAGTCAGACAACTGCATAACAATGAAAGTGTTGAATTGGAATCCACTGGGTAAAAGATCAAGGGGAAGATCGTGTGGAACTTGGAAAAGAATCACAGAAATGGATGTACAGAAAAGTGGGAAGACATGGAACAACATCAAGAGGCTAGCCCAGGATAGAGAAAGGTGGAAAGTGTTTGTCCGTCGCCTATCCCCTGATCCAGAGTGAGAAAGGCGACGATGATGACGATGAAGGATGGGGCAATACTGGCCAGGGCACACTATATCAATGTAAACTGTATTTACTTCATCACATTTGTTCCATAGGCCCATAACAATCTAACCCAGGAATGCATAGTAACCTTTTGGTGTCTTGTTTTCATTATACTGAGCTCAATGGGGACGAGAAGATTAATTGTGTTTCGGTTCAGATGTATATACATAATATGTAGCTTCTATTATATATAAAAGGAAGTCCTGAAGATGTTAATAACGACTAAGAGTGAGAACAACAATAAAGACAGCATAAAAAAACAATATTGATAACGTCAATAACCACAACAGCAAGAAAAACAGCAACAAAAGTACCAACAGTAGCCGTAAAGAAAAATTATGCCTTCCCGCAACGATACTAAAACTAAAACTAGCATAACACAACAGCACTATCCTCACAACAACGTCAGCATCTACAACAACAACACCACCACCTCCAACAACAACAATAACAATTAATCATTACAACAACAATATCAACAACTACAATTATAACAACATCAACTTACAACAACAACAACGATAATAATTATCATAACAGTAGCTACCATAATAACAATATCAACTACAACAATAATAATAGTAACAACGACGATGACAACAACAACAACAACAACAACAACAACAACAACAACAACAACAACAACAACAACAACAACAGTAATAACAACGACATCTATAAAATGACAACAGTATAAGCAGCCGCACCAGCACAACAGACGACTCACCTGTCTGCCTGTCTGTACGCCACAGGGTAGCTGGCCGACACGCAGCATGCCACAATGGCGAGGACTGCAAAGGTCAGGGTCGTCTGGGGGGACAGAAAAGGTCAAAGGTGAAGGGGAAGTCACAGAAAGGTGAAGAGGAAGTCAAAGAAAGATCAAAGGTGAAGAGGAAGCTACAGAAAGGACAAAGGTGAAGAGGAAGTCACAGAAAGGTCAAAAGTGAAAAGGAAGCCACAGAAAGGTCAAAGGTGAACGGGAAGTCACAGAAAGGACAAAGGTGAAGAGGAAGTCAAAGAAAGATCAAAGGTGAAGAGGAAGCCGCAGAAAGGTCAAAGGTGAATGGGAAGTCACAGAAAGGACAAAGGTGAAGAGGAAGTCAAAGAAAGGTCAAAGGTGAAGAGGAAGTCACAGAAAGGTCAAAGGTGAATGGGAAGTCACAGAAAGGTCAAAAGTGAAGAGGAAGTCACAGAAAGGTCAAAAGTGAAAAGGAAGCCTCAGAATCAGGGAGAAGACACACGAGGAAC